TGGCCTAGACCAAGGCTTTCGGTATACAGACAGGCCTAAATGGAGACAACCAGATCCAAGAATCAAGCTTAGGAATTTAGCAAAATATGATGATAGGAATTTCTCTCTACATGGTCTACTATCTCACTTTCTAAAATTTAAACCTGCACTAGCACAATATGCATAGTTCTACCAATTCTCCTTTTAAAAACCAAACAGGCAAATAATATGATATGTAGTTATATCTGTCTCATGGTTATAAGTCTTCTAATGCCTGAATTCCAAGCTTGTGAACACAATCACCAAGTTCATTTTCAATGTAGTTTCAGCTTGCTTTTCCCATTTTCTCAACCCTGGACACAGTAAACTACATGCTGTTCATCAAATCCTCAATGAACTTTTCATGTTTTTGTACCTTTATTCAATCTGTGCTCTTTGTCTTAAATGTTCTTTCCCTCCCATGTCACTAAACTTCTTCTAAATAATTTCCTATTTATCCTTTAAGGTTAAGGTGCATATTCATGATTATTGTTTCCCCTTGTTTAATTTTATAAGCAAATATTACATCTTATTTAGCTCTGCTTGCCTCAAATGCTTAGCATATTGTCTGGTATGTAGATACTTGTTAAGTGGATAAATAAAACAATGAATGGAGATGAAAGTAATAGTTTTGTGGCTTGTGAGAAGGATGGATAGATAAGAAAGATGAATGGATGCTGTGAAGAACCATGTCATGAATTCTATTTCAGCACTGGAATCACTCTTTCATCCAGGACATGTGATCCAGAAGCAGCAACGCTGAGCTTCTCTTCAGCATGCAGAATGACAAAACAGCTGGAATCAGGACTCCCTTCAGTGCTGGAATCTGCACAGATGTTCACACCATTCATGATGACATCAGACCATGGTCAGAGCCTCCCTGAGAAATCCTCTCAAATAAAGAATTCATATAGGTTGTTAAAACCTGCAGATGTGTTAAGTTTTTATGCTCAGATGCAGAATTCAGTCTCTTAGTAGGAAAGACTTCTCAGATAACCTTTGAAGGAAATGCTGCACACCTCTGAGTCTCACATGTACTGGGGCTCCATGCTCCTTTTCTTCTGCTGGGGTTTGGCTGCCACATGAAATTCCTAAAAGGCCTACAACCTTCCATGGTCCAGGAGAAGAAGGAGTAAATGGACTATTGTTATTTACTAAAAGTTGAGAACACATGAGTTTCAAAACATAAAAAGAAATAATGTTTGGGCAGGAATAGGAGAAAAGTGGGAAGGAGGAAATGGATCAGTAGAGAACATGGCATGAAAGGCAAATCTTCTTCATTTTATCTTAGAAATGGGGTGTACCTTTCAGAAGTGCAAAGAAAACTGAGAGATTGTTGTGCATTCATTCTAATCATGGGCTATGAAAAAGTCACAGCAAATGCCCCAAAAAGAAGGCTTTTATCTGAGCAATTATATTTATAAGCGTTTTCTTAAATGAACAGTAGGCAAGGGAGTTAAATTCTTAAGGCAGTTAGCACCATGTAGTTTTCAAAAGTAACTAGAAATAGATCACGTAAAAAGAAAGACGTGTCTTTGTTCTGGAAGGGCAGTTGAGAGCCTGCAGATGATCATTAAGGAAAGGATCCTAAGAATCCAACTACCTATATGTTCCTTTCAGAAACAATAACTGCTATGCAGAGAAGCAAGGAACACAGGTAGATAGACCTAGAAGCAGTGAGAAATTGCTACATGTATTAAGCATCTCTGCGATGACTAGCTCCTATCATCAGTGAATGAAACACTATAGAGAAAGCCAGATTATGAATCTTGATACCTTGAGACTAAGCAGCTATTAGCTACAGAGTGCCAGACTTTCTAAAATACTGGGACATACCTTCCGCCATCTATTTCTCTGATAATCTATTAATTCAGCCTACTTTTAGACACATAATGTAAGTGTGAACAGAGGTAGTTTAAATTACTATGCCAGTCAAAGCACTCATTTCTTGAGTATCTATACTTCTTGGAATAGGGAAAATGCAATCGGAGAAAGAACAGATAAACTTAGGATCCTTTCTATGTGGCTTTAGATACAAAATAACAAAATGTTAGCACCAGAAAGGTTCTTGGTGAAGTCTGTTCTCCCAATTTATGATGGGAAAATGGAGGCTCAAAAGAGAGAAGGGACTTGCCTAAGGCCACATTCCTGCGGTTGCCATTTGGGGCCATATATAATTTTGATTTGACTGCAAGAAGGAAATTAAATTATATGAATTCTCCTTTGAGTTTATCAAAATGTCTATGCTAAAGCCAAGTCTTATGAAAATGGAAGTCTAGTGTTAAAATATTCTCAAGGGCCACTGTATATTAATGCTTTCTTTCTTTTATCCATTTTTTGGGTAAATGTATGGTATACACTGCATTTGAAGTTAGCAATAAACTCAAGAGGGGACTGTGGCAAGAAGGCAGAGAATGTGGATATACTTTGGCAAAATACAAAAGTATGATTTTCAAGCAATGGTATAAGTGGGTATACACTGGGCTTTTCCTGACACAGTGCTTTAACATAACACATACTTTTCTAATTATTAAAATCAGCTTCCAAACAGGTTCATTGTGGTAATTTTCAATTTGAGTTCATTAAGAGCAATTTTTGGAGATCCTCTGCCTGTGAGAACTGTTACATGTTACAGGGCATGCCAAGTTACTCAGGTTAAAAGCCATTGGAAAGTGGTAAGAATAGCCTTCCCAGTTAAATTACTAGTGATCTCACTGACATAACAACCCCCCCACATTTGTCTAACACTTTGTCATTTACCAAATATGTTCACATTCATCATGTCATCTGATCCTAACTAACTCTGGGAGGATGCTATCTCCAAACTGCAGGCAAAAAAACTGAGGTTCAGAGAGTACACAGTAAATAATGGCACTAGGATTTTTAACCTAGGTCTGTCTGACTCCAAAGGCAAGGCCATTTATATCACATCAAGGACTGCTGTATCTTCTAAGCATTTCTTAAAGTTTTCCAGCCTGAGCTCTAATGCCTAGCATGGTGTCTTCTACACAGCAGACACTCAATAAATACCGTAGGAATGGAACTGAAATGAAAGCCAGCTGCAGCATTTATTAGCTTGTCTTCATTGTGCTGCTCAAGCCCACTCATATCTGAGCACTCTACACAATAAACCAATTTGAAAACTTATTATACAACTCTTCCCAATAAATTAATTTACAACCTTAAGTCTAAATGCTTGTGTAGTGTAGTGACATCATCTGTTTTACAGGAGCCTGTCCTTTTCAGAGTTCACTGTAATCATGTCACAAAACTGGTTTATAATAAAAGATACTGAAATAAAATTCAGAATCAAACGTTATGAGGACTTTTATTACCACTAAATTTTACCTACATCAAAATAGACTTGCAATTCCTACCAGAGATGGCAAGCCAAGGAATTCTCTACCTGGGAGCCATCGTTTCTTACACATAATTCACAGAAATCTAATACTTGAGAGTTGAGTGTAATAGAAGCCTTGCCTTGGACTTGGAACATTCATATGGAGAAAACTTCCTGTTATTGATACCATTGTCACATTTTCTGGCTTTCCTTCTGTGCTCCCTACTTTAGACCTGTGTATCTCTGACTCCCACTGCAGTTCAGAATTGTAGAATTTCTCTGGGGTATGATAAGCCAGCAGAAACAAGGTTGAGTTTGTTTTTTTCAAATATTTGAGTCTCATTTGAGGTAGCTGCCTTATAAGCCACTCACAGTGAATCTTTATGTGATGATTTTGAGATTAAGACATTCTTTAAGGTGTTTCTGCTCATTTCAATTCAAGCCTGGGTCAATTTGTTTGAGGTACACTGATCTGCTTATGTAATACGTCTGGTCTATGAGGGGATGATATACTTATCTGTATGGAGACATTCATATGGCCTTCATCCAGAGTTATAAAATAAAGTGGTGTCTACAAATGTGCACATAAGCAGGCAAGGTATTGAACACCAGAATGCCAGAGATAGACAATTGCTCTAAATTAGTCTTAAGAGTAAAGGAAAGAAGGCTGGATTCCGTGCACTTGGATTTTCTCAGCTGTTAATAAATAATCAGGTATGAGGCCATAGTTTCAGGCATGCAAAGAGGCTTGCCTTTCTTTGAGTTCCATTTCTAAATCAAAGTAGACTAATGAGCTTGCTTTTCTAATGCAAAATTAATCTTATTGGAAGCAGCAGGTAGCAGGAAGCATCTCAGTACTGGGCAGATATAAACAGGAAGGGAGGAGGAATTTGGAAGGGGGAAATATAAATGTACATCAACTGGTGTTAAACCATTCTGAAATGGTAACAATGCTCATGGTAGCCACAGGCTTAGGGTACAGACAGTCTTATGATAGAGGGTCACCCTTGAAAGAGCTGTATTAAGCTATTTCACTACTGAAAAAATGGTTTTGGAAATGATCAACAGATTTGGAAAAAAAGGAAATGATTAAAAGGCCTGCTCATCCCTGGGATATGTGGGATAGGAAATTGGCTCTGTTTCGCAGCCTAGTCACATGCTTCAAACAGAAGCAGCTTCGAATTCCAGATGCCTGGCTCTACAATATAGGCAGCAGTTTGCTGAGGGATATTCCTAGGTGTTCGGAGCCAGCCTGTGCCTGGGTCATCCTGCACCCATAACTGTTCCAGATTCCTTAGTTCCCTTATCCTGGCTACCACAAAACAGCATCAGGGCAGGGCAACTGCTCCTGCGGAACCCTGCCCAGTATCATCCAGCCTAAATCACTCTCTTTTGATTCCTGATACCTGCATCATACTTCCTACTCCTATGTTGAAACCCAGGGTCACGGGTGGCGTGATTAGGGATAAAGGCACCAGCTGGGTGATGGCTACATTGGATGTGAAAAATTCAACCTGCACTTAGAGCATGGCTGGTCCCCTTGGAGGTATCAAAGAAGAAAATTTGGCTGAAAGAGATAACTAAAGAATAGAGGGAGTAGGTAGGAGAAGGAGAAGGAGAAATAAAAAGGTACGTATCATACCTCCCAGAGTCATCCCTGCTTCGTAACATTTCCTAAGACGACAAGATGGACAATTTTTCCTTCTGAATTTATCAATGGTGCAATCATTTCTACTGGCACACAGGTACTTCTGTTTTCCTGGGAAAATAAATACAAGAGTAAACAACCTGTTAATGAAACATATCGAGTGTTTCTAGGCAAAAAAAAAAAAAGGCATGATGATATATACTACCACATGAGAGAAGTAGATAGATAATGGTTCCAAACAACTTGATCACACAGATTTTAACTATCAAAGCAAGATGTTTAATTCAATGCTATATTGTTTAGTTTTATGGGTGTTTTTCAATTTTAAACAATTCAGGTTCTGCTAATAACTCCATTATTAGGAATACTTACTAGTTTTTAAAACAAGATGCTGTATCTGTACTGAAAGATAGGAATGCCCATGAGAAAATGATCAGATGTGGAAACTGATTCTCTTTTGGCATGGCAAAGGCTTGGGCTCAGCTAATGTACCCTCCTACTGACACCTCAATCAGGCATGAAATCATACTTGAATTAATAAGACAGGTCTTTGCCAGAACACCAGTGTCTTAGTGACTTTTCTTGTTGCTGAGATAAAATACTCAACACCCAAAGTTAAGGGAGGAAAGGTTTATTTGGCTCATAGTTTGTAGAAGTTTGAGACTATAGTTGGCTGGCTCCAAGGCAGGGTGGCAGGGCAGAGGGGCATCAAAGGGAGAAGCAATTCATGGCAAAGCATTTGAGACAGATGAGAAATAGCAATTAGGTGACAAGCAAAAACAGCAGTTCTTTCTGCCCCTTTTATATTCCACCTAGGCTACGCAGCTTAGAGTGGGTGCCAAACCAGTGGACTAATTTTAGTAATCACATGCCCTTAATCCTAGCATCACACACTCTAGATCCAGTCACTCTGAAAAATCCTCATCTATCACTTCATGAGGCTTTGGGGGGACATCTAGATATAAGCCATAACAACCAGTACAAGCAAAACTTCCATAAGAGAGAATTCCATGGGATACCTAACTGTTTTTAAATTGCTAGTGATCATACTCTCAAACCTGCATGCTATAAAATCAAACAGAGATAAAGCACATTTTGTATGGTCAATCACAACAAACAAAAAGATGTCCTCTGAAGCTAGCAGAGTAACAAAGATCACTATTGTATATACTTAAAGTCACCACAGATACACAGAAGAACATATATGCAAACTCATGAAAATGGACACAAAGTATTGAAGTCTACCCAGCCACAATAAGCGTGTAGAGCCAGCATAAAATCTAAAAATTACCTTCAAGAAAGACATGGTGTAGGTGGTTATAGTCTGTACCAATAAACTTAAAGAGAAGAAAAGCATTCTAGGTAAGTCAAAGATCTTTGTTCTTTGTCTGTAAAGTATATGGCCTGTGAGTACCTTCTTCATATTCAGTTGACAGAAAAGTGAGAAGGAGCTGGTCCCGCTCCAAGGTAGTTTTAGAAGCATCCTATGCTGTAGAGCAGATGACTGAATGATTAACTCAGAAAAAACAAACTGCTATCCCAATCCCCATCATCTCATAATACAATCATTAAACTTTGCTCTTTGGCACTGTTGACTTTCAACAGCAAATTTTCCTCAACAACTTGTAATCAAGGTTTCACAAAACTTTATTTTGAAATGGTCGATGAAATATACAATTGCTCTCTCATATTGAAGCAGATAAGACCACATTCTAGTGTAAACAGACCACTTACTTAAATGTTTTAAAACTGTCTTATTATAATAACTATAAACCCTTGACTATTGTGAATGATCGTATAATGGCTGGCATGAAATACTCTATAGGTCAGCTGGTTCTGAAATTCTTGACTGCATGATGGTATTCTTCATCTTTCTTCTTGATCTTATTATTTTATCATAAACCTTAAGTATGATTCAAAACTCCACCAGAAACTAATGCCATGAGACCTCCTTCAGATTTTTTCTCTATTTCTTTTGTCTTGAGTTACAGTTTGATTAAACTTCTTTCAATTTATTAATTCTAAAAAATACTATTTGGAGTAGAAGTAAGATAGGGGATTTACCAATTATTAGTTAAATCATCACATTATGCAAGTAAAGAAAGGGTTGAGCCATCATCTTCATTATTAACCACAAAGAATGTAGAATTTATCGTGCTTTATAGAATGAGTATTAATGCAGGACCTATGAGGAAATTTTAAAAAAAAATTTCATTGACATATGTAAGAGAAAACTTGAATTAAGTAGCAACGTGAACCATATTACTAGATGAGAAGATGCAATAGTGCAAGGATTTCAGATCTCCTCACATAACATCTGTACATTTAAAATAACTGAAACAAAATCTTGACAAAATAATCCCAAAGTTCATCTGGAGGAATAAAATGTATGATACTGCCAGGATATTTGTGGAAAAGAAAGACAATAGAACTTTCCCTAACAGAAATTTAAAGTATTATTAAGCAATAACAATTATATTGGTTTCATAGGGACTACAGTATAGGTCAACTGGTGGAAGAAACCAGAAAAGTCCAGAACAGCCACAGTATATGCAACACATTATTTCAGCTCAGTGAAGGAAAGATGAATTATTCACTAAGTGGTGTTAGAACCACTGGTTAAACATTTGATAATCAGTAGTTAAATTATTAGTTAAAAATCTAAATTGCAAATGGACTATGTCAATAAAAAGGGGAAACCATGGAAATACTGTTACAAAACATACAATGAAATGATTTTTGAAGGTACATGAAGAGATTTTAAGGCATGACAATGAGGAAGACATAAATTAACATTTTGACAGATTTAACTAGAAAATATTTTATATTTATTATGTTAAAAAATCATAATAAAATTTAAAGGCAAACTACAAGCTGAGAAAAATTATTAGAATCAAGAATTTAAAACCAAAAGTCAATATTCTTGATATATGAAGATACTCAGTCTGTTAGATTAATGGACAATAGACATGAGCAAAAATAATAGGACACAGGTGTAAACACTGAATAGTTTCTCTGGTGCAAGAAACTAGAAGTGTAAGTAAGGATAAAAATGTATTATTGATAATGTGAAATAGGAAGAAAAGGTCTAAAGGGGTAGGGAAAGTGGGAGGGGTAGAAGAAAGGAAAGAAGGGAAAGAAAAAAATATGAGGAAAGGAAAAAAATGGAAACAAAGTCTCTGTAAATAGGGAGGGGTGGAGGGGTTGAAGGAAGGGCAGGGAAATGGGAGAAAAATAAGACCCAAAATACATCATGTAAAGTTATAAATTCCTAAAGATGAATGTAACTATATTGTATACCTGAAATGTACCAACACACTTAATGGAAAAAAATAAAAAAGCAATGACAAACATGAAAATTGTTTAATTCCTCTGGAAGTCACAAAAACAAATTAAATGTTATTTTTATTTATAAGACTCGTAAAGATAAAATGCCAAATGTTGTCAAAGAGGTACTCCTGGTGAGAGAATAAATTTTTGAGAGAGTAATTTAGCTATATATTTCAAGAGAATTAAAAATATGTAGAACTTTTACTGGGAATTCCATTTTTAGGAATATTTTATAAGAAAATAATATGATAAACTAAAACACATAGCTCACTGTAGAATTATTTAAATAGGAAATATTGGAGGTCTTTAAATATTTAACATTAGGGGAATGAATAAATAAATTATTCCATATTAAGGCAAGGGAATACCATAGATATTGGTGATAAACTCAATGTCTGTTTTTGTAATTTAGAAATATGTTCATGATATGCTTATTTATTAAAATAAAACCAAGTTACCAAACAGTATATTTGGTTGGATCCCATTTTAACATCTAAGGCCTTATAACTCATCTAGCCAAGTTTTTAAAAACATTTACTTGAGAAATAATTGTACATATTTATGAGGCATGAATGTGATGTTTTGATATATTGTAGAAATAGTAAATAAGCCAATTAGCATATCAATCACTTTATTCAATTATTCTTGTGGAGAGAATATTCAAAATCTACTCAGCAATTTTGAAATATACAATACATTATTATTAACTTTGGTTACCATGTTGCACAATAGATTATTAAAGCTTATTTATTTTGTCTAACTAGAACTTTATTTTCTTTGACAAACATATTACCTCTTGCCTTACCAATTGTCCTCTAGTGCATGGTAACTACTATCTTAGTCTCTGCTTCTATGAATGTGAAACAATTTCAGCATTATTTGCAACAGCTATGATATAGAAAGTGCCTAAGTGTTCATCATTGGATAAATGGAATATTATACAGTGTTCCAAAAGAGGTTTGGTTATTTGAGACACTGGGGAAGACCACATATACAATGACAAACACCTCATGATCTCAGTTATATATCAAATCTAAAATATAATGGATCAAGTTTTTTTTTCTTTTTCAGTAAACTCTTCTTACAAACAAAACATTACATAGAAGCTTTATACATAGAACAGTTAAAATTAAGCAATTTGTGGAAGCAGTCACAGGAAACTTAAAATGTCCCTACAAAAGCCATTGTTTTTCTCCCCTTCTCTGTGGGTACAGCATTTTGGAATGCTTTACAGTAACTCTGTAGGAGACCTAGGCTTCATGGGACAATTTAGAGACTTACTGATTTAGTCCTACTTTCATACCATATGTTTTTCAACCTGAGAAACTAAGAGCCATAGAATATAGAGGCTTGCTTAAGGTCATGATCATCAGTGCCCTTGTTTCCAGTCCAGAAAACCAGTGCTATTCTCATATAAGATAATGAATAAGAAAATAATATATAAAGCATTATACAGATTTTATTTATCCTTATTGTTATTTAAATAATAGACTCTTGCACATCAAAAAAGGGAAGCATTTTTATAGAGATCATGTACTCCAAACTTCTCATTTTGCAGATGGAGACACAGAGATCCAGAGAGTGGAATAGATGTAAGATTGTACAAAACCTATAACCTAGTTTCACTCCATGCTGTCATATGCTCTCTACTTAACCACTAACTGTGAAAATATTTTACTTGCCTCTCTCCCCTGAGTATTTTAAATCTGCCCACTGCCTCTTCCAATTGAGGAGGAATAATACTTGCTTGAGAATAAAAGTGGAGAGAGAAGAAACTGCTG